CTGAAATCCTAGCTACTCGGGAGGCTGAGGGAGGAGAATTGCTGGAATCTGGGAGACAGGTTGTGGTGAGCTGAGATTGTGCCACTGCACTGTAGCTTGGGCAACAGAGCAAAACTCCGTGTCAGAAAAAAAGAAAAGAGTATCCTTTACCCACTTTATGTTTTTGTTTGCTTTGTCAAAGTTCAGTTGGCTGTGAGTATTTGGGTTTATTTCTGGGTTCTGTATTATTTTCCATTGGTTTATGTGCCTATTTTTATATCAGTACCATGCTATTTTCGTGACTGGGTTTATAGTATAGCTTGAAGTCAGGTAATGTGATTTGTTCAGATTTGTTCTTTTTGCTTAGTCTTGCTTTGGCTATGCAGTCCTTTTTTTTTGTTCCACATGAATTTTAGAATCATTTTTTTCTAATTCTGTGAAGAATGATGATGGTATTTTGATGGAAATTGCGTTGAATTTGTAGATTTCTTTTGGCAGTGTGGTCATTTTCACAATATTGATTCTATCCATCCATGGGCATGGGCTGTGTTTCCATTTGTTTGTGTCATCTGTGATTTCTTTTAGCAGTGTTTTGTAGTTTTCCTTGTAGAGGTCTTTTACCTGCTTGGTTAGGTATATTCTTAAGTTTTTGGGTTTTTTTTTTTTTTTTCACAGCTATTGTAAAAGGGGTTGAGTTCTTGATTTGACTCTCTGCTTGGTCGCTGTTGGTGTATAGAAGAGCTACTGATTTGTATATATTAATTTTGTATCTGAAGACTTTGCTGAATTATCACTTCTAGGAGCTTTCTTGAAAAGTCTAGGGTTTTCAGAGTAAACAGTCATATCATCAGCAAACAGTGACAGCTTTACTTCCTCTTTACCAATTTTGATGCCCTTTATGTCTTTCTCTTTTCTGCGTGCTCTGGCTAAGACTTCGAGTACTCTGTTGAAGAAGCGTGTCGAGAGTGGATATCCTTGTCTTGTTCCAGTTCTCAGAGGGAATGCTTTCAAATTCTCCTCATTCAGTATTATGTTGGCTCTGGGTTTGTCATAGATGCCTTTTATTTATATATTTATTTTTTGAGATGGAGTCTGCCTCTGTCCCCCAGGCTGGAGTGCAGTGGCCGGATCTCAGCTCACTGCAAGCTCCGTCTCGTGGGTTTACGCCATTCTCCTGCCTCAGCCTCCCGAGTAGCTGGGACTACAGGCGCCACCACCACGCCTAGCTAATTTTTTTTTATATTTTTAGTAGAGACGGAGTTTCACCGTGTTGGCCAGCATGGTCTCGATCTCCTGACCTCGTGATCTGCCCGTCTCGGCCTCCCAAAGTGCTGGGATTACAGGCTTGAGCCACCACGCCCGGCCCGATGGCTTTTATTACATTGATGTATGTCCCTTGTATGCCAGTTTTGTTAAGAGTTTTAATCATAAAGGGATTTTGTTGAATGCTTTTTCTGCATCTATTGAGATGATCATGTGATTTTTGTTTTTATTTCTTTCTATGTGGTATGTCACATTTATTGACTTGCATTTGTTAAACCATCCCTGCACCACTGGTATTAAACCCATTTGATCATGGATTCTCTTTTTGATATGTTGGATTCAGTTAGCTAGTGTTTTGTTAAGGCTTTTAAAAAGCATCTGTTTCATCAGGGACATTAGTCTGTGGTTTTCTTTTTTGGTTAATGCCCTTTTCTGGTTTTAGGGTGATGCTGGCTTCACAGAATGAATTAGGAAGGGCTCCCTCTTCCTCTATCTTGTGGAATAGTGTCAACAGCATTGGTGGTACCAATTCTTCTTTGTTTTTCTTTTTTTTTTTTTTCTTTTTCTTTTTTTTTTTTTGAGACAGAGTCTTGCTCTGTCACCCAGGCTGGAGTGCAGTGGCGCGATCTCGACGCACTGCAAGCTCCGCCTCCCGGGTTCTCGCCATTCTCCTGCCTCAGCCTCCCGAGTAGCTGGGACTACAGGCGCCCACCACCACGCCCAGCCAATTTTTTGTATTTTTAGTAGAGACGGGATTTCACTGTGTTAGCCAGGATGGTCTCGATCTCCTGACCTCGTGATCTGCCCGCCTTGGCCTCCCAAAGTGCTGGGATGACAAGCCTGAGCCACCGGGCCCGGCCTTTCCAATTCTTCTTTGAATGTCTGGTAGAATTCTACTAAATTCTGCCTGGTTCTACACTTTTTTTGTTGGTAATTTTTAAATTACCTTTTCAATCTCGCTGTTTGTTATTGGTCTGATCAGGGTATCTAATTCTTCCTGATTTAAGCTGGTTGGGTTGCATTTTTCCAGAAATTTACCCATTTCTTTTAGGTTTTCTAGTTAGTGTACTTAAAGGTGTTCATAGCAGGCTTGAATGACCTTTTGTATTTCCGTGGTGTCAGACGTAGTATCTCCTGTTTCCTGTCTTATCGAGGTTATTTGGATTTTCTTTTTTTCTTGGTTAATCTTGCTAATGGTCTGTCAATTGTATTTATCTTTTTAAGGAGCCAGGTTTTTCTTTTGGTTTTTGTATGTTTATTTCAATTTCATTTCATTCGGCTCTGATTTTATTTTTTTTCTTCTTCTGGGTTTGGGTTTGGTTTGTCCCTGTTTCTCTAGTTCTTTGAAGTGTGAACTTAGTGTGTCAGTTTGTGCTCTTTCAGATGTTTTGATGTAGGCGTTTAGGGCTATGAACTTTCCTCTTAGCATTGCCTTTGCTGTATCCTAGAGGTTTTGATAGGTTGTGTCACTTGTGTTGTTGAGTTTGAAGAATTTTTTAAATTTCCATTTTGATTTCATATTTGACCCCATGATTATTCAGGAGCAGGTTTTTAAATTTACATGTATTTGCATGGTTTTGAAGGTTCCTTTTAGAGTTGAATTCCACTTTTATTCCACTGTAGTCTGAGAGAGTGCTTGATATAATTTCAATTCTCTTAAATTTCTTGTTCATTTTGGGGCCTATCATATGGTCTATTTGGAGAAAGTTTTGTGTGCTGTTGAATAGAATATATATTCTGCAGTTGTTGGATGGAATGTTCTGTATATATTTGTTAAGTCCATTTGATCCAAGGTATAGTATAAATCCATTGTTTATTTGTTGACTTTCAGTCTTGATGACCTGTCTGGTGCTGTTAGTGGAGTATTGAAGTCCTCACTATTATTTTGTTGGTGTCTATCTCATTTATTAGGTCTACTAGTAATTGTTTTATAAATTTGGGAGCTCCAGTGTTAGGTGCATATATGTTTAGGACTGTGATATATTCCTGTTGGACAAGGCCTTTTACCATTGTATAATGTCCCTGTTTGTCTTTTTTTTTTTTTTTTTTTTTCTGAGACGGAGTCTCGCTGTGTCTCCCAGGCTGGAGTGCAGTGGCGTGATCTCGGCTCACTGCAAGCTCCGCCTCCCGGGTTCACGCCATTCTCCCGCCTCAGCCTCCCAAGTAGCTGAGACTACAGGCGCCCGCCACCACGCCCGGCTAGTTTTTTGTATTTTTAGTAGAGACGGGGTTTCACCATGTTAGCCAGGATAGTCTCGATCTCCTGACCTTGTGATCCACCCGCCTCGGCCTCCCAAAGTGCTGGGATTACAGGCTTGAGCCACCGCGCCCGGCCCCTCTTTGTCTTTTTTAACTGCGGTTGCTTTAAAGTTTATTTTGTCTTACATAAGAATAGCCCTTATGAACCTCTTGTTTAGTGTGATATTGTGGGGTTCTCGGGCTTAGGTGAATAGCAAGCCATTTTCATGAATTACCTCACGCCATTAGGGGAAGAGGTATCCTCATTTTTTTCAATTTTTTATAGTGGTCTGTGTTCCTGTTTCTCTCATTCAGTGTTATAATTCATTTGAAAATTTTAAAATTAATTAATCTTCATTGTTTTATGGTTGCTTTGTAAAAATTTTATACTTTTTTTGATTGGGCCGTGTTGTCCTAATATTCTATATACATTGTAATCGTTGATTAAAATTTGTACATCAAAAAATCTACCTGTTGCAATCTTCATAATGTAGCCTTGTCCTGGAATAGTCTGAAGCCAGTTGTCTTGGCCAGAGATTCTGGGAGTCTGTCAAACATGTTCTTAGAATGCATCTTGTCTGAAATTGTGTGTGTGTGTTATTTTTTTGTTTGTTTTGATAAAAAAAGTTATTCATGTTTCTTCTCAGTAGTAATCACTTGCTACATCTATTTTTTTGTGTGTGGTACTATATTCTTTGCTGCTATAACATCTAACTTTGGTCTCAGCAGACTCAAGCTGTCATTTTAAAGTATGCCACCATTTCTTTCAGCACTTTATGTCATGAGAGACAAAAACCAGTGTCTAGAAAGGCCCCTAGAAGCCAGAAATAAATATGTATGTACCACTGTTTTATTTGTCTTTAAAGAGTAAACCAGGAGTTGGCAATTTATTATTATTATTTTTTTCTTTTTTTGAGACAGAGTCTCACTCTGTCACACAGGCTGGAGTGCACTAGCATAATCTCATCTCACTGCGATCTCTACCTCCCAAGTTCAAGTGATTGCCTCAGCCTCCTGAGTAGCTGGGACTACAGACATGTGCCACCACAGCTGGCTAATTTTTGAATTTTTAGTAGAGATGAAGTTTTTCCATTTTGGCCAGGCTGGTCTTGAACTCTTGATCTCAGGTAATCCACTTACCTCGGCCTCCAAAAGTGCTGGAATTACAGGTGTGAGGTGCTATTCCCAGCCATCAGTTTACTTCTAAAGTCCCTGTGTTGTTTTGGGGAGCAGGAAGAGCTGCATTGGGAAACTGTAACAGACTTCTCTTTCCTTCTGTGTGGCTCTTTGCACTGTACTTACTTGGGGTACTCTATACACTTAACTCATTTATAACTTTTCCACAAATGTATTTTGGTTAGTGTGTTTTTGTTACATTTATATGTCTATGAAGAAATTAGAGCCTGTCCTATTTTACTGTGCCATCTTGCTTTTGTGGTTTTTATAATTTTATACGTTAGATTTGTAAAGTATATTTGAGTCTAGCAAGTGGAATAATTTGTTACTTTTATTTCCTCCAGTTACGCGTTCTCATTTTACACAAGACCTTTGGCCAGATCAGAGCATGAAAGATTGTTTCCAAGAAGTAATACTGAGAACATATACAAGATGTGGACGTAAGAATTTACAATTAAGAAAAGATTGTAAAAGTGCCAATGAGTGTAAGATGCACAAAGAAGGTTATAATAAACTTAACCATTGTAGGACAACTACCCAGAGAAAAATATTTCAGTGTAACAAAGACATGAAAGTCGTTCATAAATATTCAAACTCAAATAGAAATAAGGTTAGACACACTAAAAAGAAAACTTTCAAATGTATAAAATGTAGCAAATCATTTCTCATGCTTTCACACTTAATTCAACATAAGAGAATTCATACTAAAGAGAATATCTACAAATGTGAAGATCGTGGCAAAGCCTTTAAATGGTTCTCAACCTTTATTAAACATAAGATAATTCATACTGCAGACAGACCCTACAAATGTAAGAAATGTGGCAAAGCCTTTAACTTCTCTTCAGCGTTCACTAAACATAAGATAATTCATACTGGAGAGATACACTTCAGATGTGAAGAATGTGGCAAACCTTTTAACCAGTCCTCAAATCTTACTGACCATAAGAGAATTCATACTGGAGAGAAAACCTACAAATGTGAAGAATGTAGCAGAGCTTTTAAGGGGTCCTCAAATTTTAATGAATGTAAGATAATTCATACTGCAGAGAAACCCTACAAATGTGAAGATTGTGGCAAAACTTTTAACCATTTCTCAGCCCTTAGAAAACATGAGAAAATTCATACTGGAGAGAAACCCTACAAATGTGAAGAATGTGGTAAAGCTTTTAAGTGGTCCTCAAAACTTACTATACATATGGTAGTTCATACTGGAGAGAAACCCTGCAAATGTGAAGAATGTGGCAAAGCTTTTAGCCAGTCCTCAACGCTTAAAAAACATAAGATAATTCACACTGGAAAGAAACCCTACAAATGTGATGAATGTGGCAAAGCTTTTAACAGTTCCTCAACCCTTATGAAGCATAAGATAATTCATACTGGGAAGAAACCATACAAATGTGAAGAATGTGGCAAAGCTTTTAGGCAATCCTCACACCTTACTAGACATAAAGCAATTCATACTGGGGAGAAACCCTACAAATGTGAAGAATGTGGCAAAGCTTTTAACCATTTCTCAACCCTTAGAAGACATAAGATAATTCACACTGGAAAGAAACCCTACAAATGTGAAGAATGTGGCAAAGCTTTCAGCCAGTCCTCAACCCTTAGAAAACATGTGATAATTCATACTGGAGAGAAACCCTACAAATGTGAAGAATGTGGTAAAGCTTTTAGGTGGTCATCAAAACTTACTTTACATAAGGTAATTCATACTGCAGAGAAACCTTGCAAATGTGAAGAATGTGGCAAAGCTTTTAAGCATTTCTCAGCCCTTAGAAAACATAAAGTAATTCATACTAGAGAGAAATTGTACAAATGTGAAGAATGTGGCAAAGCTTTTAGCCAGTCCTCAACCCTTATGAAACATAAGATAATTCATACTGGTAGGAAACCATACAAATGTGAAGAATGTGGCAAAGCTTTCAGGCAATCCTCACACCTTACTAGACATAAAGCAATTCATACTGGAGAGAAACCCTACAAATGTGAAGAGTGTGGCAAAGCTTTTAACCATTTCTCAGCCCTTAGAAGACATAAGATAATTCACACTGGAAAGAAACCATACAAATGTGAAGAATGTGGCAAAGCTTTCAGCCAGTCCTCAACCCTTAGAAAACATGTGATAATTCATACTGGAGAGAAACCCTACAAATGTGAAGAATGTGGTAAAGCTTTTAAGTGGTCCTCAAAACTTACTTTACATAAGGTAATTCATACTGGAGAGAAACCCTGCAAATGTGAAGAATGTGGCAAAGCTTTTAAGCATTTCCCAGCCCTCAGAAAACATAAGGTAATTCATACTAGGGAGAAATTGTACAAATGTGAAGAATGTGGCAAAGCTTTTAACAATTTTTCCACCGTTATGAAACATAAGATCATTCATACTGGGGAAAAACCCTACAAATGTGAAGAATGTGGTAAAGCTTTTAAGTGGTCCTCAAAACTTACTTTACATAAGGTAATTCATACTGGAGAGAAACCCTGCAAATGTGAAGAATGTGGCAAAGCTTTTAAGCATTTCTCAGCCCTTAGAAAACATAAGGTAATTCACACTGGAAAGAAACCCTACAAATGTGAAGAATGTGGCAAAGCTTTTAGCCAGTCCTCAACCCTTAGAAAACATGAGATAATTCATAGTGGAGAGAAACCCTACAAATGTGAAGAATGTGGTAAAGCTTTTAAGTGGTTGTCAAAACTTACTTTACATAAGGTAATTCACACTGGAGAGAAACCCTGCAAATGTGAAGAATGTGGCAAAGCTTTTAAGCATTTCTCAGCCCTTAGAAAACATAAGATAATTCATACTGGAAAGAAACCCTACAAATGTGAAGAATGTGGCAAAGCTTTTAACAATTCCTCAACCCTTATGAAACATAAGATAATTCATACTGGGAAGAAACCATACAAATGTGAACAATGTGGCAAAGCTTTTAAGCAGTCCTCACACCTTACGAGACATAAAGTAATTCATACTGGGGAGAAACCCTACAAATATGAAGAATGTGGCAAAGATTTTAACAATCCCTCAACCCTTAAGAAACATAAGCTAATTCATACTAGGGAGAAATTGTACAAATGTGAAGAATGTGGCAAAGCTTTTAACAATTTCTCAGCCCTTCTGAAACATAAAATAATTCATACCGGGGAGAAACCCTACAAATGTGAAGAATGTGGTAAAGCTTTTAAGTGGTCCTCAAAACTTACTGAACATAAAGTAATTCATACTGGTGAGAAACCCTGCAAATGTGAAGAATGTGGTAAAGCTTTTAAGCATTTTTCAGCCCTTAGAAAACATAAGATAATTCATACTGGGAAGAAACCATACAAATGTGAAGAATGTGGCAAAGCTTTTAACAATTCCTCAACTCTTATGAAACATAAGATAATTCATACTGGAGAGAAACCCTACAAATGTGAAGAATGTGGCAAAGCTTTTAACAATTTCTCAACCCTTATGAAACATAAGATAATTCATACTGGGGAGAAACCCTACAAATGTGAAGAATGTGGCAAAGCTTTTAACAATTCCTCAACCCTTATGAAACATAAGATAATTCATACTGGGGAGAAACCCTACAAATGTGAAGAATGTGGCAAAGCTTTTAACAATTTCTCAACCCTTAGGAAACATAAGAGAATTCATACTGGCAAGAAACCCTACAAATGTGATGAATGTGGCAAAGCTTTTAACAATTTCTCAACCCTTACTAAACATAATTCATTCTGTAGAGAAACCCTACAAATGTGAAGAATGTGGGAAAGCATTTAACCAGTCGTCACACCTTACTAGACACAAAACAATTCATACTGGAGAGAAACCCTACAAATGTGAAGAATGTGGCAAAGCTTTTATTCAATGCTCATACCTTACTAGACATAAAACAATTCATATTGAAGAGAAACCCTACAAAGGTGAAAGTACCAAAGCTTTTAAGGAATCCTCACCCTTTACTAGACAAAATAATACTGGAGAGAAACCCTACAAATGTGAAGAATGTGGCAAAGCTTTTAACCATCCTTCAACCCTTGCTAAACATAAGCTAATTCATACTAGGGAGAAACCCTAAAAATGTGAATAATGTGGCAGAGCTTTCAACCATTTTACAAACCTTAATACACATAAGATAATTTATACTAGAGAAGACCATGCATGTGTGAAGAATGTGGCAAACTTTTAACCAGTCCTCAAGCCTTACTAGACATAAAACAATTCATACTGGAGAGAAACCCTACAAATGTAATAATGTGGCAAAACTTTTTTTTATACTTTAAGTTCTAGGGTACACGTGCACAACGTGCAGGTTTGTTACAAAGGTATACATGTGCCATGTTGGTTTGCTGCACCCGTCAACTCGTCATTTAAATTAGGTATTTCTCCTAACGCTATCCCTCCCCAGCCCCCCACCCACTGACAGGCCCCAGTGTGTGATATTCCCTGCCTTGTGTCAAAGTGTTCTCATTGTTTAGTTTCCACCTATGAGTGAGAACATGTGGTTTAGTTTTCTGTTTTTATGATAGTTTGCTGAGAATGATGGTTTCCAGCTTCATCCATGTCCGTCCAAAGTACATGAACTTACCCTTTTTTATGGCTACATTGTACTCCATGGTGTATTTGTGGAATGTGGCAAAACTTTTAACCAATCCTCAAACCTTACTAGACAGAAAACCATTCATACTGAAGAGAAACCCATCAAATATGAAGAATGTGGAAAAGCCTTTAACCAGTCCTCACACCTTAAATACACATAATTGATACTGGAGGAAAACCCTACAAATATAATAAATGTGGCATAGCTTCTAACCATTGCTCAGCTCTTACTCAAACTGAGAGAATTCCTAAAGAAAATAAACTCCACAAATGTGAATAATATGGCAAAGCTTTTAACCGGTCCTCAAATCTTACCAAACATAAGATAATTCATACGGAAGAGGAACCCTTCAAATGTGAGGAATGTGGCAAAGCTTTTAGTCAGTCCTCAAATCTTACTGAACATAAGATAATTCATACTAGAGACAAACACTGCAAATGTGAAGAATGGCCAAACTTTTAACCAGTTCTCAAATCTTATTCAATTTATACTGGAGAGGAACGCCACAAATGCAAAGAATTTGGCAAAACTTTTAAGTGTTTCTCAGAACTTACTGAACACAAAATAATTGGTACTAGAGAGATACTTTACAAATGTGAAGGATGTGGCAAAGCTTCTAATGGGTTCTCAAATCTTACTGAATATAAGATAATTTATATTAGAGAGAAACAATACAAATGTGAAGAACGTGGCAAAGCTTTTAACTGGTCCTTAAACCTTACTGAACTTAAGATAATTAATACTAAAGAGAAAACCTATAAATATAAAAAATGTGACAAAGCTTTTAACTGGTTTTCAGACCTTACTGAACATAAGTTAGTTTATACTGAAGACAAACTCTATAAATGTGAAGAATGTGACAGTGCTTTTAATCAATTCTCAAACTTTACTAGACATAAAGAAATTCATACCGGAGAAAAACTCTACAAATGTGAAGAAAGTGGGAACACTTTTAGCCAGTCCTCAACTCTTACTAAACAAGATAATTCAATGGGAGAGAAACCCTACAAATGTGAAATGAATAATGTTATAACCATTCTTCAATTCTTAATAAACAATTTATACTGTAGAGAAACCCTGCAAACGTGAAGAATGTTGCAAAGCTTTTAACTGGTCCTCAAACCTTACTGAACATAAGATAATTCATAATGGAAACTAGCCCTACAAATGTGAAGAACGTGGCAAAACCTGCAACCATTTCTCACACTTTTCCACACATAAGATAATTCATACTGAAGAAAAACCCTACAAATGTGAAGAATGTAACAGAGTCTTTAAGTGATCTTCAACTCTTACTAAGCATAAGATAATTCATACAGAAGATACATTTTATAAATACGAAGAATATGACAAAAGCTTTAAAAACATTTCAACCTTTATTACACGTGAGATAATTTGTGCTGCAGAGAAATTCTACAAATGTGAAGAATGTGGCAAAGTTTTTAATAAGTTATCAAATCATACTAGAGATAAACTACAAATCCAAAAGATATGACAGTGCTCTTGAGAACACCTTAAACTTCACTAAACATAAACCATAGTGTCAAGAAACCCTAGACGTCAGTAATGTCACAAAGCCTTTAAATGGTAGTCACATTTGATTGCAAGATAATTTATACTGGAGAAAACTCCTTAATGAAGAATGTGGCAAAACATTTAACCAATACACCTTATCACATAGGAAAGCATTTATACTTGAAAAAAAAGTACACCTATAAAGAATGTGGAAAAGCCATTAATATCTGATCACATCTTAACATCACAGTTTATACTTAATAAAAACATTAAAAATGCAATTACTGTCGGAATATCTTTTAGAAAATATATGTCTTAGTATTTCTTTTGAGGACAAACATTACAAATATAAAGAGGGTTGTAATACTATATATATATATATATTTTTGCCTTGACAAACTTATTTTTCTTAACTTCGGTGGATACATAGTGTGTATATATATTTCTGACATATATGGCATATTTTTGATACCAGGATAAAATATGTAATGATCACATCAGGGTAAATGAGAGATTCACCATCTTCAACATTTATTCTTTGAATTACAAGCAATCCAAATCTACACTTTTAATTATTTTGAAATGTACATTTAAATTGTGGTTTATTATAAGGTCATTTTTGTGGTCATAATAAAAATCATACAGGAATGTAAATAAAAATATGTTACATATTTTTCTTTGAACATGTGGCCACTATGCCTGTAAACAGATACATATAGACTTTTAGTTTTGATTTACATATGGTTAAATATACACATATATCACTCTAAAGGTATTTAGGTGCAAGAAAATTATGAAGTAAGTGTGTTTGTGTAATTCTGAGTTTGTACCTATTTTCAGAAAAAAATATTAGAACAAAACAAATTATAATAAAGTGACTAATTTACTAGAAAACCAAAAACCTCAAAAATGTGGAAAGCAAATCTATACTCTCTGGTTTGTATTGAATTCATTATTGTAAAATCTTACATCTTATGGTTAAGAATCTCCCCTTGAAATTTCTTCGGTTTTACTTGGCTGGTACTCGTGCTAGACCCATACTTTTCTTCTTTCTTAGATATATTTTTTGTTTTATAATTTATGAAGTATACATTATGTCATGGATTATAAGAATAATTTTTATGAAGTTTAGTAGTGTACACAAGACGATCTTTAGATGTAATCCCACAATTAGTGTATTAAGTTATATTTTATTTAGTTAGAAGATTGCATTCGTTTCTTTTACTTGGAGAACCCCATATAAGCTCACTTTTACTTACTTATTGTTCCTCTCCATTTTTAAAATTTTCATAAGTTAATTTATTTATTTACTGAGCAAATTTGTTCAGATAAGTACTAGGGAGGGTTCCATAAGTCAAGAGGATGTTTTTGTGTATAAATGCAGCAAGCAAATACGGCAGTGCTTGCTGTGTAGCAGATGCTTCGTGATAAGCCGTAAGTATTTCTTCTGGAGTTAGTTTGTAACTTTAAGTCAGAATGGAAAATATCAATGGAGAAGAAATTACATTGATTCCTCATGTTGAGAGGACATTTTTATTTCCAGGATGCAAAGCTCACTCTTGCTGAATTTAATATGCTGACATATTCTGCTTCTTTATTTTTTAATTATCTTCAGTTTTGTTTGTCTTACGTTCATTTCAAGGATGTATGTATCACAGCTTTTCTCCTTTTTCTGTGTTACAGCTACAGTTTTCTCACTTGTCTTCCTACCATGTTATTTTACATGGTACTTTGTAGGTTCTGCTGAGAAACTTGGTGGGTTTTTGGTTTTTTTGAGACAGAGTCTCGCTCTGTCACCCAGGCTGGAGTGCAGTGGCATGATCTCAGCTCACTGCAACCTCTGCCTCCTGGGTTCAAGCAATTCTCCTGCCTCAGCCTCCGAAGTAGCTGGGACTTACAGGCACGCACCACTATGCCCGGCTAACTTTTGTATTTTTAGTGGAGATGGGGTTTCACCGTATTGGCCAGGCTGGTCTCGAACTCCTGAACTTGTAATCTGCCCGCCTCGGCCTCCCAAAGTGCTGGGATTACAGGTATGAGTCACTGCGCCTGGCCAAAAGTTGGTATTTTTAATGTGCTTAAAAAAAATGGTTTTGAGTGGAGAATTTGCTTACCAATATAACTTTGAGATTAGTTAATTAAAGTGAGAGGCATACACTGTCCACATGTGAAAGAATTAAATCAGTTAGCATTGTTTTTCTTTGTTTGTAAAAGAAGAATCTTATTGAATTCTTACATAAAGTGTGGCAAGCATAAAATTTGTTACAAAATATATCTTAGAAATTATAAGAGAGTTGCCGGGCGCGGTGGCTCAAGCTTGTAATCCCAGCGCTTTGGGAGGCCGAGACGGGTGGATCACGAGGTCAGGAGATCGAGACCATCCTGGCTAACACGGTGAAACCCCGTCTCTACTAAAAAATACAAAAAACTAGCCGGGTGAGGTGGCGGGCGCCTGTAGTCCCAGCTACTCGGGAGGCTGAGGCAGGAGAATGGCCTAAACCCAGGAGGGGGAGCTTGCAGTGAGCTCAGATCCGACCACTGCACTCCAGCCTGGGCGGCAGATCGAGACTCCGTCTCAAAAAAAATAAAAAATAAATAAAAAAAAGAAAAAAAAACAAAAAAAACTTTTAGGGGCGGGGCAAAGATGGCCAACTAGAAGCAGTGGTGATCAGAGGCTCCCACCGAAAAGAACCATAATGGCCTGTGCATCCTGCACTGGCTCCTGAGGTATCCAGGTTGTCTCATCAGAACTGACTAGGCAGCTGGCATGGCCCAGGGAGAGGAAGAAAGAAGAGTGTGGTGCAGCCACCCACCTGACAGCCACACAGGGCAGGGGAGCCCCCATCCCCTGGCCAAGTGAGGCAGTGAATGAGTGTCCTACTTAGCTGACAAAACCATGCTTTTTCCATGGAACTGTGCAACCCACAGATTGAAAGATTTCACTCGGGAACCCATGCCACCGGGGCCTAGGGTCCCAACCCCAGAGCTGTGCAGATTCTCAATAACCTCTCAGCTAAAATTGGTTTAAGCCTGCTGAGTTCCCGGCGGGGGGTGACCAGCACCACAGCTGTGGCTGCCTGCTGTCTAAGCCATTTCAGCTCCTTGGGGAGGGGCAGCAACCAGTACTGGGACTGATAGCTGTGTAACACACTAGGCAGCTATCCCTGGG